GGGGGGGGGGGGGGGGGGGGGGGGGGGGGGGGGGGGGGGGGGGGGGGGGGGGGGGAGCCGGTTTCTACAGCTACAGTCGTACTGTAGATGCCGATACATACTCCGACAACGTACAGTATTGGGACGGCGGTGAGCGTGCAGTCAGGAAAAGTGTTGTCGACAAGACTGTACCAGTACGAGAACCCGTACACCTCCAAGCAAGCACGGGTGCATACAACTGGGGAGAGATATGGACCAACTACAAAAGAATAGCACACCATCAAACTCGATGCACGCTACAGCAGCAGCTCAGTAAGACAGCGACAAAACCAGCTGCCTCCAGCAGAGGCGTAAGAGCAAGAACCGACGCTACTGTACCCGGAAAGGACACCGGGCGTCTCTGTCTGATCTTGGCCTATTACTGTACCTGCCCGCTCTTAAACTCTTGCGCGAAGTCCTTCGCTCTCCGCGCCAGTTGCACCTGTTTGGCACAACATGCCCAAACACCCGAACAATATTCGGTGGTTAGTTGGCGGCGGGGATGCATGAGGTCCAGCCAGAGCACTGTGTCTTCATGTGCGTTTTCCTGTGTTTGCAACAACTTCACCCCTACCTACAGCAATACAGCAATTCACCTCACACCAGTACCAACGTCTGAGCGCTTTAGACAACAAATCATACAAGGGACAGGAGACAACCTGTGCTCCTTCTTAGACACCAAAATTGACAGACACATCTCATTCTGTCATCCGCTCTCGCCGCATACTCCAAACCTTGGCCTTCCGTAACCAAATGCCGTTGTGATTGCGGTCTCTACTATCGGCGTTGCTGCTTTCCCGGCTATCTCGCCCCCCTCCCCTCCCTTTCATTCCTTCCCTTACCTGGGGCACGTGAGGATCGACGGTCTCAATGTCCGTCACGAGCTGCTGCACGGCCGCCACAACCCCTCCCAAGGCCACTGGGTCCAGATCCCCCCCTCCTCCTCCTTCCGCTGCGGTACCTTCTCCCCCACCACCCTGCAGCTGGCTTTCGCTCTTTTTCCCCGCCTCTCCCGCGCCAGCTTCTGAAGGCGCGTGCGATCGAGGCTGGGGGTTGCTGCTGTTGGCGTCGAGAGACTGATCCACCTTGGCGTACAAGAGATCGAAGAACCTGCCTACGCTAGTCTGGACGAGGGAGATGAGTCCCGCGTGGGTCTTCTTGTCTTGCCCATTGGCGACAGCGGTGGTAGCAGTGTCACCATCCTTCTGATGCCCTTGCTGCTTCGTCTCGGGTGGGGCTTGTGTTGCGGTTGGTGGTGCTGGTGTCGACGACGCTGATGGTGTTGACGGTGCTCCGGTCTGCTCGAAGAGCTGGTCGTAAAGCTGGACGGTTCTGATGGACAGAGAGGGACAGAGAGGGACAGAGATCGAGATACACACAGAGAGAATAGCAGACAGACAGACAGACAGACAGACAGACAGACAGACCGAGAGAAAGAGCAGAGATAGAGATCGAGACAGCGACGGAGACGGAGACAGAGAGACAGACAAGACGAGAAAGGAAGTAGAGACAGAGAGAAGATCGAGATCGAGACAGAGGCTGAGGCGAGGGGCGTTGGATACAAACGACCAGAGCTAGGGTTTGGCATTTGTGCTTCTAACAACGTAGAGACCCTCCCCAGCCCGCGAAGTCGCCGTCTCCAAAGTAAACAGAAAAATCTGGCACGGAGTCCTACCTGGTACCACCTAGGCAAAAAAAACTCGAGCCCTACGGATTGCACTACACAAATACCGCATGTTCGCAGTTCAACCGACTCGGTGTTGCGATTGTTCTAGTATAGCAATGAACGATCAAAGCGTTATTGTTTGCACCAGGTATCACGGACCGCCCAAAATACATACCGCATACCCACAAACCTTAGCAACATCGGCAAGAAGCCTTCGGCCAGCTTTCCCAGGCAAGCGTCGAGGCTGACCGACCTATCCTCCACCAGAGCTCCCGTCGAAGCCAACAAGAACGCCTCCAGTTGGCGACGGTGCGCGTCGAGGTAACGCTCCTTAAGTCCCGCTGGATCTACACCGAGCTGCAGTAGGAGATCGGCGTGCGACACGAGAGTATCTCTGCTAACGTCCTGACAGTCATGGGGAGCGGGGGGGGGGGGTAACACGAGTTAGTTTGGATTCGATCGCGTGTGTGTTCCTGTCTACAATAGTGCGTGTCCCACTCCATGACTGCCTTCGGCGATGTATTTTTGTTGTGTATGTGATCGCAACAACCAACAACAACCAACCTACCGAGCTGTTGACCTCCTCCTGGAGCTTATCCTGCAAGCGCCTGACGGTATCCTCGCAGTCTCTTTGGATAGCGCCAAAGGAAGACACATGCGAGTGCTTGTGCAGAATATCCTTGGTCATGGAGAAATACCTGAAGCACATGGGAGACGCACACGTCATCAGTTTGCCGTGGATGAGATAAAAGGGGTGCAGCAGTAGAAAGGGGCGACTGGGAATGGAGCGACCACGGGCAGGCAACGCGTACCTCCGTCCGACGGCTTGGGACAGTGGGTCATTCACGTATTTTGCGAGGAGCCCCACGCCACCGTGTGAACAAAAGACAAGATGAGTGCTCGCCGAAAGATAATGGCCAAACTTATCTGTGGTCACTCTTCTAAAACTGACAAATTCCCGGAATTTCCGGGAACCATACCTTAACACTAACCAGAACAGCGACTTTTGCGTGCCATACCCCGCTAAGGCGTTCCTTGCTCCAGCTAGCCTTGCGCATCTTGCACAGAAATACAGCATCCATTTCGGGTCACTCTCTTGATTTTCGGTGCCCCTACCCCACTCCTCCTCCAGTAACAACGCCACCTTGCTTGTGGCTTCTGCCCCGCAAGGCGCCTTCTGCCATTGCTCCGTCCAACCACCACCCCATTCCACCCCTCCTCCAAAGCACCACACCAACAATATACACCTGATCGCTTTGGCGTACTGCCCCTCTTGGACGGCCTCTTCCAGCCTTTGCGGCAACTGAAACAAGAAGTCTAGCCGCTGAAGGAGCCGCCTCACGCGCACCAGCTTGTCCATCTTCGACCGGTTGCCTGTGCGTGGTAGGGTTGATGCGCGATTACAGCAGCGTGGGGCAAGGAGGCATGTTTCAAATAGATGCTGCCGGTAGACGAAAATTGGCTGCAGCGGTAGGCAGTGAGGGCAGCGATGTGCACCACAAGTTGCACATTTTAGGTGGAGTGCGTGGATATGTTTGTGGCATGAAAGAAGACACCACCGGCCTCGCTCCCCTACCCCCTCCCGCCGCTCTTTCCTCTATCTTCCCCTCCCTCTCCCTAACCTTGCCCTCCCCCTTTCCCCTCCGCTTTGTTTTCGTAGACATATCCGAGGCCCCAACGCCCCGTACCCCCGCTTGCTGTCCGCGCTCTCCCTCTCCTGTTCTCACCCTCGAGCGACGTGTTGACCGTTGCGCTGCTCTCCGCGATTCGCTCCATGCTGCTCTTCAGGTCCGACATCTCCGTCTCCATGCCCTCCACGTTCTGCGCCATCTTGCGGATGGTGTCCGTGGCGCTGATGAACTTGTTGTAGTTCTCGTACACCAGCATCTGCATGTCGGAGTCGAGCTTCTTCACCTCTCGGACCTGGATGGAGGGGGGAAAACAATGATAGAGAATAACCGGCGCACTGCAGCTCTACATCTTGTAATGGTGCACAAGCGGAGGATATGGATGATTGATCTCGTCAGAAAAGATCGTAAGACTAAGTTGGCATTTCGGCCCGTATCAACTATTTATAAGAAAACAAAAGAGGGAAATGCATCGTTCGTACTCCCGCTGGCAGACAAGAGCTTCACTTCAGCAGCTGAGCAATCCCGTCTAAAAATCTACTGGAGTGGTGTCTGGAAATCGAGATCTTAACGGCTGCATGCTGCAGTATACAAACGCTTGCGTTGAGGGTGCTCGAGATTTATGCAGCAGTATCATGTCGAGGAAGACAACACAAACGGCACACAGCAAAGAGGGAACAACAAGCTCGCGGTGATCGGCTAAATAGAAGGGGATAGCCTGAAGGTGAACCCGGCGTGTCGATGGCTATTCCTGTCTCTACGCCCTCCCTCTCCGTCCATGTACACCGATTGTATCTCGCTCCCTGCATGTACCCCTTACCCCTGTCGCCTATTGGAAGAAACCTCTACATTGCTGCTGCGCTCTGCTCCATGCTCCCCCTCTCGTCATCCTCACCATCTCATCGTCCTTCCTTAGTAGCGTCTCGACCTTGTCGTTCTTGAGCAGGCCGGCCACATACCGCTTCGCCTCGAAGTAGGTGCTCTCCACGTCCGAGGACATGTCGGCGCCGCTCCGCTCCTGCTGCTGCATGCCGTAGTAGCTCGCCAGGAGCTCCTTCATTCGCGCTCCGCTGCCAGCCGCCGCAGTGGCTGTGGTGGCTGCTGCGGGACGCTCTTGGCCATCGCTGTCGTCATCGCTGTGGGAGAGGAAGCGGGAGTGCCAGATGGCGTCGCGGGAGACGAGCGAGGGTACAGCAGCAAAGCCAATCAATTACGAAGGGGCGCTGGACCGTCCCAGTACGGCAGCAAGTGACGAGAGGCTTCACGTTTCACATGAATGCAAACAATTTGGTTCGTGTTCAGAGAGAGTTGCTATGCACTGGTCGCCGGCTGTGGGTGGTGATCGCATCTTGTCAGCATGGTGTTCAATTTGCGGTGCTTGTGTGCCTTTTCTGTTATTGTCTGCAGATGATGTTCTTCGCAGCTTCACAGCAGCAGCACAGCAATGAAGCAGCAGCATATATAGCAGCATAGCGAGCCTAATTGCTGTATGCATACGAAGGGAGGTAGGGAGGAGCTATTGCGCCGCATCGGAGGATGAGGATGAGCCATATTGCTACAGCAGTATGTTCGATTCCAACATGGCCTTGCACCGCAACAACTTCCACCCAGTGCAGTTGCGAGCAGTAGCATCTGTGGCGGCCATAATGCGGGTGTGGAAGGGAGAGAACGCAAGGGAAGAGGTACGTAGGCCCGACCCCCGTAGGAGGGCAGTCGCAGGACAGAACAATGCGCTTCCAAGACTGGCAAGAACACGCCACACATTGCATTTTGACGATAACGTTCTCCTGCCCTATCCTTCCCGAAAACCATCAAAACACGAACGCAGGGCGCTTCACTCTCACCTGTTATGCCCTAGCATCGCTGCCGAAGCCATCGAGAGAGCCCGTGGGCCTGTGAGGCCAAGCCAAGCTGCTGCCGACACCGGATAGTGGTGCTGCGGGTGTTACGATGTTGACATAATGTTTGCCGAACGGAGATCAGGGGGGGTGATGTATCTCCTTTGCTGAACCCCCTCGAAACCGATCAACTGCTTGACGCTGTGCTAACCAGGTTGGTCTTTGCGATAGACTGGAGAGAGAGAGTCTACTCTCTGTCCGTCTGTCTGTCTCTTGGTTTGAGGAGCCATGATCTCGGCAATTCTGATCATAAACCGCAGGGGCGAGATTGTCATCAGCCGATTCTACAGGTAAGCACGATGTGGACGCACTTCTCTTTATTCTCACACAACGGTTGTGTTTCCTTCCGAAGCAGTTAGAACGAGGGCCTCCGGATGATCTTCTGACGGAGGGATGGAGGAAGATACAAGCTAAGCACTGCCATTACTGTTGCACATCGAGTAACGAACCATGCACCCTAGAAGTCTGCGAGTTGATGGAAATCACAACGAGGCCGTGCCAAAGCGTTCTTGATGTTGACGGAAGATAACACCTTTCCCATACGGCGCTTGTGGTATGTAGAATATAGCCAGTCGGGGATGAACCGACGGCACTACTATTTACGTAGGGCATGCGGAGAAGGCAGGGTGTTGTAGTGTGTTCCATGATTTTGGAGAGATCTCTCCCCATCAGGTATTCCCAAGGTCTTCAACTTGATGCTTTGTGCACCACCTCTCTGTGGTGGAATACCTGATAATCGTCGTCACCTCCAGCGTTGAAGAGAGTACGGTCTTGAGAGCATCACCCATGGTATGTACTGATGTACTGGTATGCGAACTGATGACGGCCGAAAAGAGCGGGTTCATCTTGCAACCCCATCCCACTGGATGTGTAAAACAAACCCAAAGAACAGACACAACGGTGTTGCGCCATCGTGTACCGGACTGTCTCCCTGCGATACCTTCGGTGTCACCCTGACACGGCACTCGTAGCGAAGCCGTTGATGCTCGATTTCCCGACATGGTTCACAAGCAGTGCTGAATGAAGTTGGGGGACTCAACTCAACTCAACTTCTCGTTTTCCGTTTCCTCGTGAGCAACAGCCGACGAATAGTTGAACAGTTCGGCACGCTAAGGGCCAGCGGATAAACACCCAACGCAAAGGAGACAAGAAGAGCCACCGTCGAACTGCTTGAACCTATGTATCTGGTGCGTGGTATTTTTTTCACCTCTCCTGAACTTGGGGATCACAGCAGCCCCCCAGCTGGAGTTAGCTAATCCATACGTATTCCGAAGAGATCCTAACCCAGCCCACCCAAGACCCCCCTCAACCAATCTCAACCTTCTCTTCTCTGGTCCCGCTTCCTTCTTCTACAAAAACCTCGATACTGTTCAACCAACCGCTACATACTGCTGTCGGATTTTCAGAGATGATGTTACGAGAGCTGCTGCCGACGCGTTTCGGCTTCAGGTCATCGCATCCAAGGAGACCGGTTCTTCGGCGCCCATCATGTTGGTGAGTCTGTCTCTGTCTCCTCCTCAACATCACGAGGTCAAGAACAAGAAGTACTGCTGTAAATGGGGGACGGAAAACGATTGCGAATAGCATGTAGCAACGAGAGCTGTTTTTTTGCTGCCGTGGTAGGGAGAGGGAGAGGGAGAGGGAGAGGGGGTCGATGGCGGACGTGCGCGGAGCGGTTCTGATTTTTCGTTTCATTTGTGTTGGTTGTGTGAAAGAGATATGTTCCATGGGATCCAAGGCTGTCAAGTGCAGGTGCGGAAGTCTAGGGCTTGAAGCAACCAAAGCGGGCCAAGAGGCAAGTCTCCTGAGTACTGTTGGGACCAGCACATAACTCCCTACAGAGCAGCCTTCCTGGGGGTACTTGTTAGGCTCAGACCCTAGGGAAAAAGAGCGTGGTGGCAGAAGGCAGGATGTAGAAGGCACGACGAAGGAATTGCTTCATTCGTGGCGCCTCGCTCACACAATACGGTCGCACGTCATCCCCCTTGCGATGTTGTGACAAAAAAGTGCTGGTATGCATGTAACCCCACAGTCCCCCTAATCGTGTGCCCCTTGGTTCTTGTCGTCGGTTAATTCTCTATTTGTCGGCTGCTGGGATGGTAAAATTTGGTGGTCTTTGACGGAACGGACGGGCATTGACTCGTTGACTCGTTGACTCATTGACTCTGCCACTGCAACAACACGGCGTCGCACAGTTGGACGGCAACACCTTCCTCTACACGCGACACCTCAACCTGTACCTGGTAGCCGTCACGCGGGGCAACGTCAACCCCGCCATGGTGTTCGAGTTCCTGTACCAAAAGATCAGGATCTTCAAGGCGTACTTCAAGAGAGATTTCGACGAGGACACTCTCCGCAACAACATGACCCTCATCCTTGAGCTCATGGACGGTGAGGGGGAGCTGAGGAGGGGGGGCGGTCATTACGGCACGGAAGGGGATGGGGGGCGAGCATCGATGAGGATGTCATGAATGTAGGAGGAGGAGGAGGGCAAGGGTGTACAGAGGTGAAGCGAAAAAATAAAGGGCGTGCTGCCACGGCTATGTGTACGCGCACGTACGTGAGCAACGTCGTGGCTGCATAGGCACTCGTCCTCGCTTTACCAGCTGTTTTATGTGTCCTTCGCCCGGTGCCTCTCCCCTCTCTCGACGTTGTGTGTTGTGACACTACTGTGTGAGCCGTGTTTCGGCCGCCCCCCCCCGTGATTCCCTCTTTTTCGTTTTCTCGGACGTGTTTTTCAGGCCCCCGATTCGATTTACATTAAGTCTGGCCCAGAGGCGTTTTTCTCAATTGCTTTTACAAAAGCTCTTGTTTGCATTCGGCTAGAGCGATAGAGTGTGATCTTGGTTTGCAGATGCCGAAAGTGTCCTTCCCTCGATGTGAAGCGACGACGACGACAGCAGCTTTTCAACACTCATTCAACTCCGGGCGTGCGTGTAACGTGTATCAGAGACGATGGACTACGGCTACCCTCAGATCCTGTCCATTGACGTGCTTCGCACGTACATCAACCTGGGCACGATACGATCACTCGACGGAGACCCGCAGGAGAGCGGCCAACTAACGAGCCAGATCACGGGGGCGATCGACTGGAGACGAGAGGGGATCCGGCACAGAAAAAACGAGGTGATAGACTGTCCATTCATGTGTGATGCCACTATCAAAGGAGTTCGCATGGCATGAGCTTGTGCTTCTTTTTTTTTGTACTCTTCCCACAAGAGCGTGGCTGGTCTTAAACAAGTCATAGACGAGGAGGCGCATCGGTACAGAAACCAAAGGGAAGAGGCAATCTCGGAATTAATGTCAAAGGAGATGTTTCCGACTTTGTTTCGTAACAAGTTGATTATTCCCTCCAATAAGTTGTTCGAAGACTGGCCCAAACGCCGCACGTGGAAGACCATGACCGTTTTGTCCCCCCTGGTTCTGTTCTCGATTACTGGAAATCCCAGACTGGGGAGAAAACTGTACAAGCTCGCCGAAACCTGTCGGCACACAACCAGAACAGTGGATGCATTCACTCGAGCTATGCATACTTTGTATACAAGTTCGGCTCAACCTCTCCTATTCGCTCATGTTGAGTTCAAGGATTTGGTCCTTTGTCTCTGCCTGCTATCTAATTCGTCTGCTCATCGGTGTACTTGTCTACCTGTGTTCAACCTATCTGACTCGTTGTTCTCGCACGTAATGGCTGGATGGTCATGTGTACTGTATGGTTTTGAAGGTGTATATTGATGTCCTGGAGTCGGTGAACCTGCTCATGTCCTCTAATGGCGCGGTATTGCGAAACGACGTCAGCGGCAAGGTGATCATGAAGACTCTTCTATCCGGTGCGTCATTGCTATCGCTGTCCCTGGCATTGTGCAAGATTCAGAATGAATTTGATGCCCTGGGACGCCTAAATCTAGCATCCGACCAGTGCGAGGGATTGTTTCCAACGCTCAGCAACGACGGCGACGAGAACGCACTACGCCGAGCGCGTTGTCAAGCGACTATTGTCTGACCCGTGGCAACATCGCAACATCTCAGGGTTGTGCCGGTCTAGATTCGAACACCAGCGCGTCGCTTTGCAATCTGTACAATGATGCCCGACACTGGGTTCGCTTTCTTATGGTACGGTGCGAGTGTGGGAGGTTCTGGGTAGAGATCAGCACCCTTTGCAGCGGCAAGGCACGACCACCAACAGCAACCACAGCAACAGCAACAATGACATCACCATCACGACCACCAATAACAACACCCACAGGGATGCCCGACTGCAAGTTCGGCCTGAACGACAAGCTCATCATGGAGCGCGACGGGAATGCGAGAGGGAGGCAGGACCGTCGACCAGCGGTTGCCCTCGATGACTGCACCTTCCACCGCTGCGTGCGGCTGGGCAAGTTCGACGCTGATCGGACGATCACCTTCATCCCGCCCGAGGGGGAGTTCGAGCTCATGCGGTGAGATACTGCTGTAGTTGTTGGTGGTGGCACGGTAGTGGTGGCGGCGGTGTAGTTGTTCGGGGGGGCGGGGGGCGGGGCAGATAAACACGGGGGTGCTGTTGCTATCTCTGCGCAAGGTGTGCCGGTACATGTAGAGTAGCATGTTAATCTTGGTGTGTTGTGCAAAGTTCTGCGTCAAGTCACGGGTGCAGGGGTTGAGCCTTTCTTGCTTTGAATAAGCCATTTACCCAGCCGGAAGCACAGCTTCTGAAGCCTTTCTCGTGACGTGGAAGATTGAGGATTGATGAACGATGACGTTGTGGAGGGGCAAAAGCGCCGTTTCATACATATGCCGGCGTTGACTGTTTATCCCGCTATGTCGATAGCTGTGTGGCGCAGTCAAGTCGGCCAAGTTTCCGTTCCCGCCGTCCTCTCGTCTTTTCTTGTGTAGAATCGCGGTCTCTCATCCTACATACCAGCGAACGCCCGAGAGTAATGCCTGATTCTCCTTTTTTGTTAACGGGCAGATACCGCGTCGCAGACAACGTGAATCTTCCTCTTCGGATAATACCTGCAGTGCAGGAGGAGGGGAGGGGTCGCGTCACCATTAACCTCAAGGTATCTGCGGACTTCAGCTACAAGCTCTTCGGCAGCAACATTGTGGTGAAGGTATGCATATGTATGTACATGCGCGGGGGCGCCGTGAGTGAGATGCGGCGTAACCCAGGGAGCACCCTGATCGTCGAGAGGAATGAAGGGTTAGAACCTTCTGAGAGACTGCTTGCATACCGAAGAACTTTTGTGCGCGGTGAGCGGCGTCCGTGTAGCGGCAGGAGCAGTTGCCGTGAAAATGTTGTTCTGTGATAACTGCTGCGGCAGCAGCGTACGTGACCCACGCACACTACGCACCACGCTGCGGTAGCTGGTACCTCCACAGTACAAAATATAGCAGATTACTGTTAGGGGTGTCAATCGGGCAGATTTTGGAGCCAAAAATGTGACCGGTCTATTCAGCGATTTTGGAGGGGGGCACACGGATTGTGTTCTTTTTCGGCTCTCGAGAGTGCCCGCCTATTATACTGATTAAACACTACATCACTTAATTTGTTTGTGCAGGTAGTTCTGCGCCCAGGCAGCAGCGTGGCTCTCCATACGTTACACACACCTGGACACAAGTCCAATAGAGGCGACTGTAAGCTCGGTTTTCTCTTCAAGTTAAAGGGCGGACGAACAACACCAAAAAACATGTTTTTTTTAGCTCTTTGCTCCACGCCCAGGGCGGCCTTTGCTCCTCTCGAATAAGCGAGCTTATAGTTCTCTACCTTGGGTTTACAGCTATACTGCACAACAAACCCCATCCGAATCGCGTCAGCCAACCACGAGATCTACATGTCTGAAAACGGCCCCTTCAGTGGGGCTGCAGCGCCCACACGAGCAGGCCCTCCCAAAAAAAAAAAATCGAGGTCCGCGCCGTTCGGCAGCAGGAGGCTCGCTGCGCGAAAGCTGCATCAAAACAAAACGAAGTTTGAAGAGAGGACGGGACAGTGTATGTTTGCCGCGTCAGCAGAAGATTACACGCGGCGTGCTATCGAACGCGGCAGCCTCACCGTCGTAATGAGAACGCTAGAGGAAACGAAGGAGGAGTTGATCAATAGCAAGAAAATTGTGGACGAGAGCCAGGCTCAACCTCGCTACTGCCGCCGCCGCCGCTGCTGCTGCTGCTGCTGTTTTTTTCAGCAGCAGCAGCGGCGGCGGCAGGTGTCTGCGTGTCTTCACCGCCCGGCTGCTGCTCGGGTGTGTCATGAAGCATGTGTTGTAGAGTGGGACCGCGCAAAGGTGTTGTGTTGTGTCCCACAGCAGGGCTCATCAGAGCACACACACGAGCGGCGCCCTCGCGCGTGCGCGTCAGGTGTTCTTAGGGAGCTTTCGGACCGTTTCGTGCAATTTTATTGGTCAGTCGATTTTCCATCAGGAAGATCCAAGGCCACTTTTTCATTTTTTTTCCTATAGGAAATTTGCTGCTTTGACACCCCTAACTGTATACTGTATACTTTATACTGTAAACTACCATATACTGTATACTGTATACTATGTACTGTATACTGTATACTGTATACTGTATACTATACGCCTGAAACACACTACAACGACGATTGCGACATTCTGAAGTTTCCGCCAGCCACCACTCGAGCGAAGTCAACCCCTAGAATACCATGCCTCTCTGTATCGATTTGGCAGCAGAAGACTTCTCTCCATGCGGCCTTAAACCCACCACCCCCGCTACCGCCGCTGTACCCCGCCCCTCTGTCCCCAGGTGCCAGTGCCTCCGAACACGGCGCGATGCCTCATCCACGTGGGGTCGGGCAGGGCCAAGTACGAGCCGGAGCAGCGGGCTATCGTGTGGCGGATCAAGCGCATGATCGGTGGTGCGGAGGCGGTGTTTACGGCCGACGTGGAGCTGACCCCTAGCATCCGGGGGAAGGCGTGGTCACGGCCTCCCGTACAGGTGGGTGTGTTGGAGGGTCCCTGGAAAAGTAGACGCACGGAAGGAAGGAGGTCATGCCGGAAGATGCTGATTGGCATGGGTGGAGAGGAAACATGGACAGGCTTGCGTGCCAGAAGGCCGACCCCGACGCTTGTTTTTTGACCTCGGCATGCCTCCGTCCACGGACAGCGTTTGTGAGACATCAAGTTTATGATGAAATAGAACAGGGAGGGGGTACCCAGAACCTATCTCTAGCCCTAACCCAGCTGACCCGATTGCATCCTTCGTCCAATAGACCATGTTTGCGTAGACAAAATACCCTGCGAAGGGTACTGCCGTCCACTTCGGTCCGGTACGACATGGGGCGTACTACGAGGCCGTTTTGTTTGTGGTGCCCCCCCCCCCCCCGACGCGTTTCTTCGAAGACGATCTCCCCCTTCTGCGTCCGGCTTCGCCGGTCGCAAAGTACAGCCGTGTCGTTTGCGTTCTGGCGCAAACGGCTTCGAAACACAGCATGTCCAGCACGCCCGGGCGTGGGAAAACCTTTCCTATGCTATCATGGTTTTTCACCGGCCTCCTTGCTTGCTCCATCTCCCCCCTATCCTACCCTGACGTGTCCTGGGTCTCGTCGTGTTTGGCATCTCGCACTGCGCGTTACGATATGAATGCTACAGGCGGAGTTCCAGGTGCCGATGTTTACGTCGTCTGGGGTACAGGTCCGCTTCCTCAAGGTGTACGATAAGAGCGGTTACCTCACCAAGCGATGGGTCCGGTACATCACACGCGCAGGCCACTATCAGATCCGCATCTGATCCCCGCCGCCGGGATCTGGCGAGTTTGGTCGTTTCAGACCACTGCCCCCCTTCTCTCTTGAAGGCATTCTCTCTCGTGTTGAGACTGCTGTTTGGCAGCTCCTGGGCTTCCCGTCAGAAACCGGGGTGCGCGTGGGGGGGCGTGTAGGGCGTTTCGCCCGAACCGTTCGTCACAGCCGCCACCGCGCAACATGTCTGTTCGGCTAGTAGCTACCAGCTGTTCTCTATCAGTGGTGTGCCCCCATGTGGCGGGTGTGCACGCCTCGCTGTTTGAAGCCTTACGGTCCACCTGTGGGTGCCTTCGATGTAGTAGGCACTCGCTGTGCAGGTTTGTTCGGCGGCAGGTTGCGGTGACATCAGCCGGGGAGAGGAGCAGGGAAAGGCGGCCACACCACTTGTAGCGGACGCACTCATTGTTTATGACTTGTTGGAGCTTGTGTTGAGCTTGCTGTCGCTCCATGTGCAGAAGTTATTTCCTGTCCGCGGTTAGACCAACAAAACCTCTGCAGGAACCGGACAGTTGGAGCTTTTCAGGACCAACTAGGGAGCGAGAGGGGAGCCACAAGCCGCGGCGGTATTCGCTGTAATCCCGGCCTGTAACTCATTCTGTACACAAGACGAGATAGGTACAAGTACTCCATACCCTGAATCCTGAAGAGGAAAGCGTTATGGGAAAGCATGCGGTCTACGTACCCCGCTGTGGCCATCAACATGCGATCCGAAAGGGAAACTGATTAGGATCCCCCCCCCGCCCCCCCGTTGGGTTTTCGTCGCCTGGCAACGACGTTGTAAAATAAGCCCCCCCCTCGGTGGATCCCGGTGTTTGCCATCGGGATTGGGTTTCGTCGCTTGGCAACGACGTT